CAATGTAGTTCTCTCTGCTCCAGTTCTGGCTCCTAGTGCATGCCGGTTTTAAACAGCTCTCTTTGTGCTGACGAGGTCTACAGCTTCCTCTCCTTAAGGCATTCCTTTAACAAGAGTTTGTACTTTTCATCTCCAATATCTCTCTGGGTGCCACATTTTGTTCAAAGGTGCTATTTCTGACCTTTTTTAATTAGCCCAAGACACCCTTTGTTTACAGGAAAACTGTAGCTTTTCATAAATACTGCCTCTCAGCCACGGAAGCACTTTTGATGTGTCATGCCTGTTATAATGTAGGTGAAAATGAGGCTCAATTTACCCACAGCAAGCTCCCAATGACAGCAATGTGTTGCCCAGTTTTTGTATTAATTGAGGCTCATATTTGAGCCTCAGACACTGGAGGGCACCCCCTGCTTTTCAAAATAGTAATTCTTTTGCTCCTGGTAAGCTAAGACCACAGTCTAATGTTTAATTTGATAGCACCTCTGGGAATGCTGGACTCCCTTGATCCTGGTACTCTGTATGCCAGCCTGAATTGGTCAAGGCTGGTATGGGCCTTGAGCCTGGAACTTTGTGACTCAGGTGCCTGCTGAGCACAACTGGCATCAAGGGTGGTTCCAGGGGTATGTCTGACTTATTTTAGTTCACTGCATTGTCCTATAGGGTGTGTAACTGTTTAAAAGCACAGCCCTTTGTCCTGTGCCAGTGGTCTGAACCTGTGGTGTTGGGTTTTGGGGGTGAGGGGAGATGGGAATATTAGGAAGGGGGAAGGGATATTAGTGTCCCTATGAAGGGGCCCTTGTGTGATAGCTGAGTGTGCCTGTCACTGAACTTCCCAACAAGGAATGGTGTCACTGTCTCTCAGCGTTGACCTTGTTTGGAGTGTTTTATTTGGTTGAAAAAGCTTTGTTTTTGATCCAAAGGGAACTGGAAACTGAGTCTGCATAAATTTTACATCATCAGGAAGTGTGGCACTCTCTGGCCTGAGTGCTGATTAGATTGTTAACTCTCTCTTTGGAGCTGGTGGGAGGGAGTTCATTTGAACCAGTTGTATGGTGTTACTGTAGCTGGTGGTATGTTGCTGTATACATGTATCGCACTTCCTCCCTGCTCCCCCAACCAACCTGGCATCCCAAGCCACAATGTACCAGATGCCTGGGAATAGGTGATGACGACTGTTGCCAGTCCCAGTGATGACCTAGCCTTGACCCTAAGGGGTGTTTTAAACAGGCTTCAGTTGTCAGACAGTTGTGTATTCCAGCATAATCTCCAATTTCTCCAACAGCGTGGTGTACGCCTGGGACGAGGGGAAGAGATTGCTAGAGAAACGCAGCAGGTCTGCTGGCATCTGAGGAGGAGTTGACATTTTGAATTTGGAATGATTTTTCAGAGTTTGAAGTTGTTAACTTCACATCACTCGTTAGATTAACATTCCTGTCTCCCCATGGGTGTGACCAGACCAGAGTTTCTCCAATGTAGGACATTTTGGATTCCCAGCATCTGCAGTATTTTAACTTCACTGGGAATAGAATTGAAGTGTCTGGGGATGTTATAGAGAGGACACCCAAAGCCCTGGAGGCATTGGAGCACAAGGATGTGCATTTAAAACACAAGGTTATTGCTGGACTGAGCCATCAATGGACATGATGGGTGAATGCCAAGGATACTGGCCTCAAAGGCTTGGCCATTCAGTCATTTTTTGCTCTGGCGATAAACAGTACACTGTACCCTATTTAGTAGGTGGTGTGTACAATGGTATTATTATAGTGGGGACTTGGTATTGGATTGCCCTGGCTTAAAAAATGTTTAATAGATGCTGAACTCAGTTCAGTAGAGTATCTGGCCCACTTTAGGTTCTGTAATCCACTCTGTTCTGTGCTGTTCCCCATAATGCTGACAATTTCAGTTGCCTTGCTTTTCCAATGAGGACTGCTTCAATATCTGTCCTTGTATATCACTGGGAGACTGACACACTGTCTTTGCAAAAAACACTTGTCCCCAGTGCAAGAATTGTTGTTAAAGGATGAGGGGGAGACTTGTAGCTATTACTGAGGAACTCCCCTTGGTGCCTGTATTGCCTTCAGCTCCCTGGCTAATGGCTGCTGCCTCTAAAACTGGACAGTGTCATGGGTGGTAGTAGAAACTGCCGATGCTGGAGACTCTGAG